CCCCCCCCCCCCCCCCAAAAAAAAAAACAGAGGGATGAACCTAAACCCATGAAATTCGTAATATCAAATTTCAAACACTAAGAGCATGGACAATGGCAAGTAAGAAATTGAATGCCACACGATGACGTGGAGTATTTTAGCCAATCAAAAGTAGTCCAGTCACCGTGTGGTACATGAGTGGAGTGGCATGTCTTGCAGTGGCAAGTCACTCCTTTTATCATTTTTTACACATTTTTAATATATTTTAATTATTAAAAATTATTTTACTTACCTTTTTTTAATAAAAATAATTGTAATCTTTTTTTGGCAATATTAACATTTTTGATATATTTTAATTAGTCCATGTGTGCTTTTTTATTGTAAATTATTGCATTTTCTTGTAAAGATTTTAATTGTACAAAGATAAAATTAATTTTTTAAATTTTTTAAATTAAATTATATAAAAATATTTTTTAATTTTTTTACTTATTTTTTTTATCATAAAAATATTTTTACTTCTTTATAGGAAAATATTATTCATTAAAAACCCAAAAAAAGAAAGAAAAAAATGGTGCAAAACTCTATTTTGGACGGAAGGAGAATTCAAAATTCGATGCAACGGACAAGCACAGACAACAAAGATCAAACCTGTCCCAAGTTTAACAAAAAGAAAGAAAAAAAATGGTGCAAAAGTGCCACGGACAAGCCTCGCAAAGAGGGGTGGAACGCTTCCTCCATGCCTTGCAAACAAGGGATGCCATATGACGTGGCAGGCGTGGCACCAATTTGACTCGCTGCTGTACATGCTCTAAAGTGAATTGAATCGTAAAATTCACTGGCCGTGGATCTCAATTCTCTTTTCCGGATTTTATGAATTGAACATAAGATTCAACCAGATGCCAATCTGCTTCATCAAAAAATTACAGTGTATCTTGATTCAAGAATGTATTATTTTAATATAATGAATTCATTATTCTTCGGTATTTTAATGTATTATAAATGCAAGAACTGTGTAAAATAGTAAAAAAAAACTTGAGTACGTTTTGATCTTGTTTCATAACCGAACAAATACAACCAAATACTATCCCACTAGGTGGGGTCGGCTACATGGATCAAACGATGTCATTGTCCCTATCATGTATCACATCTACAACAAGATCATTCACGTGTGGGTCACCCTTGACCACTTTGTGTCATGTCTTCTTAGGTCTACTTCTTCCTCTAGCCACATGTCTATTCTTCATTTGATCCACCCTTCT